GCCTCTATCGGCAGTGGGGAAGTTACCCTGGCCTCTACTGGCCCCCTCCTCATTTTCATCTTCATCCAAATCCAGTGGAGGAAAGTTAGCAATGCTATAGACAGAACCATGCCCTCCACCATCTACTGCACACCCCAAACCTCTGAATGTGCCCTTGTTTGGAAACAGAGCCACCGGATGTCTTAGTCACTTTCTCATCACTGGAACATCAAACTCGACCCTCATAATTTAAGGAGAGGTTTATTTGGGCTCAAGGTTTTTAGAAGTTTCTGTGCATGGTGGGCTAGCTCCAAGACAGGAAGGGTGTGGTGGAAGGGCCTGGTGGAGGGGAGCTGCTCCCATCGTAGTGGCCAGAAATTGGAAAGACAGGGAGGAGCCAGGGAGGGAAATAAACCCTTCCAGGTCCACCTACCTCCAGTGACCTGCCTTCCCCAACCAGGGTCCATCTCCTCCTAACAGTTTCTCTATGGGTTTCCCATGATCTAACCCACTTCCAAAAGCCCTGCCTAGGAGCGCATGAGGCCGCTGGGGGACCTCCAGATAGAAACATAACATGGCAGGTGCTATTAAGATGAGGTTGTACTAGAACAGCCCCTAACCTGATCTGACTGGTGACCTTGGAACAAAGACCTGCACTCAGGGACAGCATGATGTGAAGACTGGATTTGTGCTGCCGTGTGCCAAGAAGCCACAGGAAGGGAGAATAAGGGTCTGGGACAGGTTCTTCCTTGAGCCTTGAGAGGGAGCAGGGCCTTGCTGACCCCTAACCTGGGATTTCAGACTGCAAGAAGGTACACAGTGCTGCTGCTTCAGCCTTCAGCTTGTGGGACTGTGCCATGGTAGCTCTAGGGAACACGGGATGGCTGCTGGGGCCACAGGGCCTCCCATTCTGGGTCTGTACTCAGCTGGAAATTCCCTTCTCACCAGCATCTCAGCCTTCCCAGTGTCACCCAGGGTAGCTTTAACCCACTTCTACACCTTGCCCCCAAACTCATGGGACCCCACTAGACTGAAAGTGCTCACCATTGGCTCCTGAGACCTGGTAGAAACACTTCTGCCCCCTCGTCTGGGGCTCCCTGCTTCCCCTTTGCTGTTCCACTCCCTAGATCTGATACACTGTCAACAACACACGCTCAGTTTTAAAATTTCCCAGTCTCTTCCTGTTGGCATGCCGGGGAGCAGCCTAGAAAACGTTTTGACAAGGGAGGAAGGCTGTTGATGCTGCTGGCCACAGTCGTTCTGGGGCACCGTCATTAAATTCCTCACATGTACTGCCAGCAGATGCAGGGGCATGCTAAACTAGAGCCCAATTAACGAGCATCTTGAAATGTAGTGCATTAATGGGAAATGTGGGGGTGCGGCAAGGCCAACAGACCTGGAGCCAGTTGTCAATGGAAATGTGGCTTGTTGCAGTTCGGAAACAGAAGCTGTCCAGATCCAGGTCAGCTTGTGCCCCCCACCCCGCGGTGTCACCCAGGCAAGACTGTGGGGAGAGACTGGGCTCCTGTGAGGCTCCCTGGACCCCCACAGCTCAGGATCCAACAAGGGCGAGCCTTGCCCTGGAAGCCCTCCTTCCCCACTTGCTCAGTCTCCTCATGCCTCCTGCTCTCCCGGGCCCAGAAGGGGTCCTGCTGGGCCGCACCCACCTGCTCAGGCTTCCCATCTTGCCTCAGGCCTGGAGTAGGCCTCAGAGTGGCCTGAGAGCTATAAAAGTGTCAGGGCTCTGCCAGCAAGATAGTTGGAGGGAGCTGGGGTGGTCCTGGGTGGAACCCACTGATGCTCAGCGGGTGATGGGCAGGCATACTGGGAACCATCACCCCAGAGCACGGGGTCCTTGGCAACAGAGGTTGTGCAGGCCGTCACAGGCTCAATGCCGGCTGGTGGCAGGTCTGCCACAGCAAGGCAGGGACCACTTCCATAATAGGGAGGGGATGGAATAAGACCCAGTGTGGCCTCCATCATGGAGCTTTGAACTGGAGACACAGGGCCTGATGTCAAGCTTCCCTTGTGGCACTGATCGCCCTCTCTGCTGTCTTTGATGCAGTTTAGCACTTTGAGAGGAAAAGACCCAGAGCCCACCTGTGCCCACGGTCCCTGCTGTCTCCATCAGTGTCTTCCACCAGCACCCTCTCCTCCGAGATAGCAGTGCTCTCCTCCGAGTTTGGGCTTGGCCATGTGACTTGCTGTGTCCACTGGGATGTGGCCAGTGACACGATATGGCTGTCCCTGTGTTATGGTTGACACACTGCATCAACTTGAGGAGTTTAGAAGTTTAACTAAGAGACTCAGCAGGGAGCCAGGGTTCTCACTTTGTAAACACTCTCAGCCTGTGCAAAAGAGGGCAAAGAGATTTTGTGTGTGCTACATCTGCTCTGGGGGGAAGGGGTGGCCTGCATACAGTACAAGGGACGAAAAGAGGCCTGCTCTGCACCCTCTTTTGCTGGCTGATCCCTTGAACTGTGGCCCCAGTGCCACGGCACCCTGCCTTGGAGCCAGCTGATTATGCACTGAAACTTCTACAGTGAGCTAAATAAACCTTTTCTTCCTTCATTTTGGGTGTTAGGTATTTTGTCCCAGCAACAAGAGAAAAGTAACCAAGACACCCTGCTCTTGTTTTTGTGGGGTGGTGACAAGGCCAGCAAGGTAAGTCCCCCAGAGCCTGAGTGGGAGGTGCAGGGCTGAGCCTCCTGAGCCAGCCAAGACCATTGTGCACCAGTGACAGCTGACCCTCAGGTCTACCAGTGAGTCCAGCCTGCACATGCGAAGCTGCCTCCCAAACCAAGATGACCTTCACACTGGCAGCAAAGCCAGCCGGGCCCAGCCAGAGCCCTTCACTCCACAACCTGGAGATGATGGGCTGCTGCTTGTGTCCATCCTAAATCCGGACATCCACCTGAAAGCTAAGCAGGAACCTAAGCAGACATCAGAGCCGGGAGGGCTGTGAGGATGTGGGGACTTCCTGTAACTGGCAAGTCTGAGCCTGATGATAAAACAGTGCGTTTATGAGGTGTGACCAAAGGGACAGGGAATGTTTAAGCTAAGAAAAACTGTATTGCAACAAAGTATGCAGAGCCATGAGTCCCCTTCAAAGTCCTCATCTTTGCCTTGAATGCACTCATCCTGTTGTTCTGGCCACTTTCCGCAGCAGTTCTGGAGTCCTCTTCCCTGCGTGTCTTTAGCTGCTCTGTTCTGGGTGCCTGGGTGTCCTCAGTCTATTTAAAAAATCTTCCCTTTCATGACCATTTTAACCCTGAGGAAGAGGCGGAAGTCGCGCGGTGCCGTGGACAAGGCAGATAAGGACACAGCCTGCCTTTGTCTGTTGGCGGTTGGCAGCAGCGCTCACTGTGTTTTTGCTCACACCCTATAGAGACACCCAGGAAAGAACACCTCCAGAACTGCTCCAGAAAGGGTCAGGGACAACGGGATGAGTGTCGGAACTGAGGGGAGGACTCTGAGGGGGCTCTAGGCCAATGTGACTCTTACTATAAAACATATTTTATAAAATTTAAACATTCACTGTATATTTTGATCATGCCTCACATTTAATGTTGTATTTCCCTGGCAGCAAGGCTCACTAGCCCGGGACCCAGTTAGGGACAGCAATGGGACCACTCCGCATTCCACTCCACGGAGAGCACCCAACAAGCATGACCAGAGATGCATATAACTAGATTCTTGCCAAGGAACCTAAAAGTTGTCATGTTCCTTGTGCAGTCACCAGCTTGAAGATATCAGCTGTGAGTTTTCACCTGACCTCTGGCCCAGGCGCTTCCGTGAGCTGAGAGGTCCCGGGGAACCCCTGGCTGGCTCTGGAGAAAACACCTGGCTGTGTTTCACCTGCAGGGGAAAGTCTGAAAATGAGAGCTGGAGCTGTCAGCAGAAAGAGCAGGAATGGCCTTCAGGATGCCTTCCTGGTCCACCGAGAAGACCCTGCCCTGCCACAGCTGGAGAGCTTTCACCCTGAGCGCCACCCAGGACCTGAGCCAGACCCAGGGGAGCCTGTTGGGGCCTGGGCCACCCCGCCCTCTGTTTGCTTCTGATCCTTTCCTCCCACACTGGTGTTTTGGAATCTGGGTCCCAGGTGCCCGGCACTTTGGGATGGAACCATATTTGGAGATAAAGTATTTAATTAAAGGATTAATAGGAGGTCACAAGGGCAGTCCTGGTGCCATCTGCCTGGTGTCCTTAGAAGAAGAGGGGATGAGATCACAGACTGTGGAGAGGGACCCGTGTGAGGATACAGGGAAGATGACCTCCGCTGGCTCCTAAATGTTAGGGTGCCAGAAATGAACATTTGTGCGGTAAAACCCATCTCCAGGCTCTGGGACTCTGCTATGGGGGCCCTGGCAGGTGACACACCTGGTTTCGGATGGGAATGATCTGCTCATGCTGGCTCATTTTTCCATCCATCCGCTCCAGCGATTGCTCTAAACCCCAGTGGACATTTATTCTTCTGTGGCTCCCCAGTCCTCAGAGTAGACCCCAAACCACTGGACCCCGGAATCTAACACAAAAACTGGAGCGGTAGCTCACTGAGGTAGGACAGGGCTGCCTGGGACACCACCAAGACGGCACCTCACTGCCCCAGATGGGTTCCTAGGAGGACCCATGTCACTCTCATGGGAGAGCAGTGGAGACTCAGTATCTCAGGCCCACTCAGACCTCCATGCCCAGGAGACCTGGAAGTGGGGACCACTTCCCCATCTGGACACTGAGCATCAGTGAGTGATTCTGAGTCACAGGTTCCCACACCTGTCCCCTTGTGCCCTGATGTCCCCAGGAAGTGAACAGCAATGACTGCAGAGGACAAACCTTCAAAGGAGCTCAACTCAGCTTACTGGGGTGGGTTGCACCCTGGAACTGGGCTGATGCCACCTACCAGGATGGGAACAGAGGAGGGCTTTGCTTGCCAGCCCTGGTGTCCTGCTCACCAGGCCCTATGCTGCCCAGCACCCCACACTTTCCACTGCAGCTTCCCCAAGGGGTCCCCACGGGCTTACCATGCTCGTCCAGCAGGATGTTGTCTGGCTTGATGTCTCTAGAAGAGAAAACAGAGAAGCAGGCGATATTGATTCCTGGAGTCAGTCAAGGGCACCCTGCTGCCCGCCCCCATGAGGTCTCAGACCAGGCAAGACAGTCATCCCAGTAATAGAGCCGCTTTTAGTGAGAAAGATTCCCACTTCTTTTCTGGCCTGGAACTGCAAACAGATTGTCTGAAGGTGGTTTTTCTAAATATTTTGAGTGTTTGACATCTCTCTTGCAAGTATCCAAGAACTGTTTTATTCTGTTCCAGTAGGGACTGAATGGCCAGTATGCTCTGTGTCAGTCGGCTGGGGCACCTTTCTGCCCTGAAGATGCCCAGTGTCCCCGGGAGGGACAGGGACTCAGAGGCCGGCGCTTGGCAGCCCACCGGCCACATCCACACCCACGCCTGGTGTGTGTGTGTGGTCTGTGAGCTGAGATTGCTCTCATACCTTTAAAAGGGTTATAAAAACAAAGTCACGTGCAAACAAACAAAAACCAAAAGGGACACACAGCAGGGGCTGACGTAGCCGTGGAGCCCCGAAGGCTTTGCTCTCCGCCCTTTGTGGAGAGCATTTTGATCGCTTTACACGATGATCTATTTGGCGACATCAGAGCCCCAGGTCACCACTGGAGCAATGGACCTCCCCACTCCATGTAGTACTTAAAAATTATTTTTCTAACACTAGGGATTAAACTCAGGTCTTTTGTACTGAGCTATATCACCAACTCTTGCTTCTTATATTTTATTTTGAGACAGGGTCTCATTAAATTGCTAAATTTCTCTGGCTGGACTTGAATTTATGATCTGCCTGCCTCAGCTTCCTGGAGTGCTGAGATTAGAAGTGTTTGCCACTGTGCCCAGCTTTCCCAGTGGCACTTTTAAAGGTGCCCATCTGCACCAGGCACAGTGACGGCCACTGTGAAGGATGATGGGGTGCAGGCCAGCATGGAGATGGAAGGGGACACAGGGAAGCTCACCCTGACCCTGGCTCGCTGCCGATGCGCGCGCACTTGCCGAAGCCCTGTGTGGAAACACGGACTGCAGCCCGCATGCTGCACACGCTCGTTTCTAATAAACCAGCGCGACTGAGACTAATGACAGCTTTCCTGGCAATAAAGAGCAATCACCCAGAGTTTATCAAATATTCATTCTACCCGAGAACACGCTGAGGTTGTCTGTAATAAGGCCACACGCTGCCTTCCCAGGGAAGAAAGCAACATTTAGCCTACACATTTAAATTTTTAGTCTCATCATGGCTTTTCGAGCCCATGAATTTTGATGAGCATTAAGCAAATGGGCCCTTGCTGCCAAGTGCACAAAACATCTTCTGCAAACAAAGGGATGATTGCAGAGGCGGCCAGGGAGTCCCACGGGAGACACGGACTGAGAAGGGACACAATCAAAACAAGAGGCAGAAGCCCCAGGGTCAAGTGTGAGTGGCTCCAGAGCAGGCAGCTCCCAGCAGGGAGAATCAAAGGTTTGTCAAGAATAAAAGCAAAGTAGCTAGTGCGAGGCTCATCCTTGAAGGACTCACTGGGGTGGGGGGTCACCCTGAGTGGGGCATGGAGATAAGGGAGGTGGTGACTGTGGCCTCGGGAGCACAAACTGCACGATTCCTGAGAGCGTGAGCAGCACAAAGTTGGGGCACCGGAGGAGAGACCCAAGAGTGTTATCTGATGCACTGGTCCCCCTTGATCCCCATGGTAACTTGAGAACGGCTCAATTTGGAAATGGAGTCTTCGGAGATGTAATCAGTTAGGGATCAGAAGATGAAATTATCCCGGATTCAGGGCAGGTCCCCAGTCAGTGACTCAGGTCCTTTGAGGAGAAAGGGGACACAGAGTTGGACACTGGCACAGGAGAGAAGGCAGCCATGTGGAGACAGGGGCAGAGATCTGAGCAAAGCAGCTGAGGAACAGACGCTGGGGTCCCAGGGCTGATTGTCCCTGAGAACACCCCAAGGAAGCAGGGCCCTGGCCACACTCTGACTTCACACATGTGGCCCAAACTGAGAATAGATTTATGCCAAACCTCTCTCCTGCAAGCAGAACCATCCCTGTCTGGGTTTCCCTTACCAAATGGACTAAACATCAGGACAAGTGTCTTCTGTCACAGCTGTCAGCAAAGAGCATTGCCAAGTGTCCTCTGTGGTTACCACGGACCCACAGAATAAGCCCTGATCCCATAGGGTCCTTGCCGCTGAGAAGGGAGGCAGACCTGTGAGTAGATGGCAGCTCCCGAGTTAGGATGAATGCTTCAAAGACAACAAAATGGCCTGGGAAGGAGACGCAGCGGGGCCCAGCCTTCCCTGCCCGGCCAGGAGAGGCCTCTCAGAAGAGCAGCATCTGGCCGACCTCTGCAAGGCCAGAAGCAGACAGCCAAGCAGAGAAATGGCCCGAGACACACTTCCAGCCCCCGTGATCAGGCTAGGCCACACGGCACTGCTGAGGACGTGTCACGTTCTCGATGCTGCCACTCTGTAAGACTCAGCCCTGGCAGTCTGGAGGGACAGCCCTTCCTTGCTAGCTTGGAGGACCCAAACTGCCACAGGGAGTGGGCTCTGGCAGGGGCTCACGCTGCCTCCCAGTTGAGCAGGGCCTCCAGCCAGTGAACAGTGAGAAAGTGGAGACCTTAGTCCTACAGCCTCGAGGATGAGTTGTACTGAGCAAGAGGGAGCTTGGGGGAAGGGAGGGGCATGTGATTTGCAGTTTGGGGACACCCCAAGAAGTTTCCAGGAGACCTGGGCTTACACTTCTGGCTGGAGGACATCATCATGGTGGAGGTAATTAGTTATGTAGCCATGGAGGATGTCATCATGGTGAGGTAATTAGTTATGTAGCCATGGAGGATGTCACCATGGTGGAGGTAATTAGTTATGTAGCCATGGAGGATGTCACCATGGTGAGGTAATTAGTTACATAGTCATGGGGGATGTCATCATTTTGGGGTGATTAATTACATAGCCATGGAGGACATCATCATGGTGGGGTAACTAGTTACATAGTCATGGAGGATGGCATCATGGTGGGGTAATTATGTAGTCACGGAGGACGTCATCATGATGGCGTTACCTAGTTACGCCATCACAGAGGACATCATCTTGATGGGGTAATTAAGTTATGCAGCAAGAGGAAACAATTATACTCACCATGTGAATGGGTCGCTTTATCTGAACCTCATTTTCTTTACCTTAATTTTTTTTTTTTTTTTTTTTTTGAGTCACGGTCTGACTACGCACTTCAAGCCGGCCTTCAGCTCACTATGTGGTCCAGGCTGGCCTCATGGCCATGTACCTGCCTCAGCCTCCAGAGTGCTGGGATTATAGTGCAGACTGCCGTGTGGCTGGCTTCATTTTGTTTATCTGGAAAATGGGAAGAATCAGCTGCCTCATGGTGACTGTGAGCACTGGAGGCCACGGCATTGGCACAATGCTTTGCTTGGCTCCTGGTGTGTAAGGAGCATGCAGGGACTACCTTGGTTTTCTCAGAGGAGCTGTCAGCACCTGGCAGCCTTGGCCATCCAGCAGAGGGATTGGGTTGCTTTCCTAGGAGCCTCCAGGGCTAACTCTGGCAGAGGCCACGGAGGAGGGAGGCTTCTGAGTCAGCTGAGTGAGAAGAGCATTGCAGCGGCAGAGAATCTTATCAGAGCTTTTCCTTTGATGGGAGCCGGGGCTGTTTCCTCCAGCCCTATTTTCCACACTGATCATATCTCAGGCCTTCAGCGTCATCCTGTTGAAAACCAGGGCTCACGCATCTGCAAAGGGCACTGGAAGCCTGACGTGGATGGGGGAGGCTGTGGCGGTTTTCTGAGGACAGAGCCATAATTTCAGAGCTGGGCAGGCTGACACTGCAATAACGGAAAGTACAGAGGAGAGACTATAAAACCTGGCTCCAGCCCGGCTCCAAATCAAACACAGCATGAGGCTAGGCGGCCATGGGGACAGGTCTGCCTGTGTCCTTTGCGGGGCTTCTTGGTATTCCACATTGGTGATTCTGTAGCCACAAAGACACACCAAACCCCAGGAAGAAGAGCACGCAGCGTGCTCTGAGTCTGGGCTGCAGGTAAGCCAGTAACACTCACTCTGGGAGTTTCAGTGAGGAATCACGGAGCTGCTTCTTATGACAGTGACCAGTGCCAGGCACAGGGAGGCAGGGCTGCTGCTGTGGTTGGAACGGGCAGACACCTGTCAGTGCTGAGGTCCAGCCAAGAGTGTGGGCATCAGGGGAGGTGTCCAGATGCACTCACTGGGGTGCGGGGAGTGGTTCTGGGGATGCCCTTGGCTGTCTTCCGACTTGGTCAGCTAGAGCGGGGTAAGCTGATGATAGAGAAGAGTGAATGAACTTGGTTCTCAGGCTTTGGGATCCCACTATCTTGGCATGTGTCCTCCTTCCAGGAACTGCATAACGAGACGGCGGACAGCAGTGCTCCTCATCGGGCATCACTTCTTCCTCTCATCTCTCTCCTGTGTCCCATGGCGGGCAGGGACTGGGTATAGAGCACAGGCCCCCACCTGGTGCTTCAGTCTCCTGGCAGTACTGGTGACGTTCACTCCATGCTCCCTGAGTGCCACCTGAAGCACACGTGATGATGTGCGGTGGGCTACTTGGTGCTGTGTGCTGCAGTGACCTTCATCTGCCACCTCTCCTCACCCTGACACATCTTTCGTGGGCAGGCGTTTTATGGGTGGAGAAAGAGGATTCACAGAGGATCAGCAATGTGCTAGGCGCCCCTGGAGACTTGTCGGGGATCAAATGTTCACAGAGATCTGACCTCTTCCCAAGCTGCCCCCATCAGTGTTCTCTGATTGGGTGAATGGGGTGGGGCGGGTGGAGATTTAAGGTTCTCAGAACCCTAAAGTAAGCAGTCATATTTCCACAAGTGTGCTTACAAGAAATATATTCTTTTAAAAATTACCGTACATTTCCGCCTGCTTTTCATTCATTGCAGCCCCTCCATGTAAGGCTGCATTTCCTTTTTCACGTGACCCAATTGGCTTTAGAAAACACACAGCT